CCCCAAAACCCCAAAACCCCAAAACCCCAAAACCCCGTGCTTTGAGTTAGAGATTGAGAATAATAATTTCAATAATTATAATTTAAATTCTTGGTCCAATCTTGACTTTTCTTGCCCGATCAAGTTTCCTCTTACGATAATTTTTAGTGGCTGGAGCATGTATCATTTTCAGATTGCTTTTGCTAATGCTAGAAGAATGACCAGAAACTGGTGGAGCTCGATCCTGAGCATGCTCTGCTCTTCTCTGATGAGTTATACATTCTGGTGATGGCTTCTTTGGAACAACATTATTTTTAGCTTTATTCCTTTTCCATTTAATGATGGAGATTACTATTGACTTTACCAAGAATATCATTCACACCAAACTTCAAATCGCTGGCGAAACCATAAATATTGTGGTGTAGTAGCTTTCATAAAACGGAGTCCAGCTTTCTTTTGTGTTGAGCCATGACAACGGAACTGACAAACAGCAGAACATTGTCTGGTTGATGATCTCGATGACACTGTCTTGTGGATTCTCGAATGGCCTGACTCCGATCAAATACAGTCCATATACAATATTTAGCAAGTAGAAATATGTTCCTTTCGTTGATCCAGAAACAGTGGCTCCAAATATCAGCAATGATGACAGCAGCAGTCTCAGCAACATGAACAAACTCGAGTAGAGTTTAGAAAACTTTGTTGGCTTGATCCCATTGAAGTACTCAACTCACGGCCAATACTTCTTTTTGTCAAACTCAGGAAACGACTTAGCGTACATGATGAATGACAATATAAACAACACGCTTGTGCAGATCCCGAACACTATTCAGAGACCTAAAGACACTTTGGTCACGGTGGTGCTGAGGTTGAACATGTAAAGCTCAGAGAAGATAGACAGAGTCGTAAATGAGAACGCCTGTATGAATATCCTGATGTAAATGTTGAATGTGAGGAACTTTAACAGTGCACCCAAGAACTTGTTGCATTTTTTGTGTTTAGAGTTCTCTGTTCACAGATATCATCCGAATATTCACAGATGGATAGCTCCTACGAGAATAATAACAGCCATCAGAGATAGGTAATTAACGATAGAGCTTCCAGATCTCAGCCCGAGACTGTTCAAATATTCGTCAGATTGAGGGTATGAAACCCAGTTCGATATGGCTTCAACAAACGGGATGTCTTTGAACTTGATAAAGTCAAACGAAAACATTGTGAAGCCCATACTACTTAGAAAATCGAGCACTTTAGGTGAAATGTAATCAGGAACCAGGGGTAGTAATACTCCTAGCTGCATGCTATTCATGATGCTGAATATTGAGTTGATCGATGTTAATGATAACATCGATGAGGCACTAGCCAACACAACACTCGATGTGACCATAGCAGCTGCAGCCTCAGTTGCTCCAGGCATTGAAGTTATCTCAGAACACGACTTCTGGCCATCAGTAGCTTCATAATCTGTAGTTCAAGTTTCTCACAGATCTGGAGAGCTGAGTTGTCAGACTTCACAATTCATAATGTTTCACTCTTCAACGGTAATTTCAAATCTTTTGTGGTGGACTTCTGTGTTGAAGGAGATCTCGAGTGAGAAATAAAACGTCTTCTCCTCAGTGAGTTTGGGAGTTGTGTTGAGGTGCAGTTCCTGTTTGGCTGCATCCATTTGGACCCACTCAGGGATTGTATTAGAGCTAGTCGGGACCAGGCTGAAGGAGATGTCAGTGTAGTTTCCAGACTGGGCTCAGGCCCAAGTGAAGTCTACTTGCACTGATGAGTTGCTCTGGACAGACTGGATATGATCCTGGTTCCACAAGGCAACATAAGTGGTGAAAGTGGGGTCAGTTGTTGAAGTGATGTCATTTTCTGTGATTGATGTTGAGGTAGAGATTAAGAGAGTTTTGAAGCTACTGGTAAGATTAGGACTTGAAGTTGTAATATCAGATACTTGATAATCAGAAGTGATCGGCATAAAAATTGGAGCATCCTCTTCAAACTCTCGAAGCTGATCAATATTATTAACAGATGACCTCGCAAAGAAAAAGGTATTATTTGAATAAATCCTTCCAGAATGGTACATTAATTCTTGCCCTTTATATAATAATCTTGCAGTGGAATAAGAGCTGGAATCGATTCATTTGAACTCCTTAAATATCTTAGTGCTATCAGAATCTACCAAAATTAATCTTTTACCTTTTGGCAATCCTGAAGTTTGGATTTGAACAGCAATAAAATTAGTAAACTCTTTGATTGAGTAACTATTTCTATAAAAACTATCATTCCAGATTAGGCCAGAATTTTGAGGAGATCCATCATTAACGCTAAGTTTATGAAAAATAAAGTGCTCATCGTATAAAATCATTGTATAAATCCAATTTTCATCTCTACTCAGAAGTGCTCAGCTAACCTTACTCTCTCAGCTTGAAGTAGGACATGGAATGCTTTTCTTCCAGACAAAGTTGGAAGAATCTGAGAAATTATAGTTGACCAAATAGTACTGATCAGCCACAGTGTCGATTGATGCAAAGAACAAGAGGTCGTCACTAATTGGAACAAAATTAGAATGAGCATCAGCTCCAAAACTTAATCAGTTGAGATTAGTAGTTGACATATCCCACCTGCAAGTTTCAAAAACCATGTTTATGCGCACACTAAAGTAGAAATAGGTGCTTAGCTGCATGTTCGTGTCATAATTCACTTGAGCAGTGCTAACCGATAACTCTCTTGCAATGGTAAGGTCAGCCGTTTTAATCTCAATTATAGAATCTGTAGTCATATCAAGGATGTATAAGAAGTCTCCATTTGGGTTAATAATCATCGAAAAGTAAACTCAGTAGATATTATAAGTCACCACTTGAAGTTTGGACAAGTTATGATCTGACTTATAAATAATTGTCTCGTATGGAGTTGACCCTGGGTTCTGGTATCCAACAAAATAGAGTAAACTCTTCTGATGATCTTCAAAAATATCTAGCAGGTAAACTTGAGTATACCCCGCTACTCCAAAACTTCCTGAAACCGCTGCTCCCACATCCTGGTCTCCATCCTTACACACATTCGTCCAAACCACACACAGCACCATCACTAGTACAATTCTCACCTTCATTTATGTATATTTTTATTAATTTCTGTAGGAATTTTGGAATTTGGGGTTTTGGGGTTTTGGGGTTTTGGGG